CATTTTTCCAAAGAAGACATCCAAATGGCCAACAGACACATGAAAAATTGCTCCACATCACTCAGCATCAGGGAAATCCAAATCAAAACCTCAATGATATACCACCTCACACCAGTCAGAATGGCTAAAATTAACAGCTCAGGAAACAACAGACGTTGGCGAGGATGCAGAGAAAGGGGAACCCTCCGACACTGTTGGTGGGAATGCAAGCTGGTGCAGCCACTCTGGGAAACAGTATGGAGGTTCCTCAGAAAGTTAAAAATAGAGCTACCCTACGACCCAGCACTGGGTATTTATCCAAAGGATACAAAAATACTGACTCGAAGGGGCACACGCACCCTAATGTTTATAGTGAAACTATGGAAAGAGCCCAAATGTCCATCAACTGATGAATGGAGATGTGATATGTACATACAGTGGAATATTCCACCCATCAAAAAGAATGAAATCTTGCCATTTGCAATGACATGGATGGAACTAGAGTGTATTATGCTGAGCAAAATGAGTCAGAGAAAGACAAATATCATACGACTTCACTCATGTGGAATTTAAGAAACAAAACAGATGAACATAGGGGCAGGGAAGGAAAAACAATGAAATAAAAACAGAGAGGGAGGCAAACCATTAGAGACTCTTAACTCTAGGAAACAAACTGAGGGTTGCTGGAGGGGATGTGGGGGAGATGGGGTAACTGGGTGATGGACATTAAGGAGGGCATGTGATGTAATGAGCACCGGGTGTTGTATGTAAGTGATGAATCACTAATTCTACCCTTGAAACCAATACTACACGCTATGGTAACTAACTTGAATTTAAATAAAAAAAAAAATGAAGTGGCAAGACTACTATTTTTTATGGGTGTTTCTTTCTTTTTGCTTTGTAATCTTTTATTTATAAGCGTCCTCATCAGTGCGTGCACGGGCTACCCAGTAGCACAGACCCTTTAGGGGGAGGTTAGAAAGAAGCCCTATGGGTCACGGCAACCGGTTCTCAAACAGCATTTTTCATTATATGGGCCAGTTTTATTGTAAATTTGTTGTAGAACCAAGAATCCTTTTTTGCTCAGTGCTGGTATGAAGTGTTAACTACCTAATCGAACAGGCCAGCAGACAGAAACCGTGATGCCATGGCCCGGACCATTTCTGCAGCCCCTGAATCAGGCTGTGAGAACAACAGGGTCACTCTGATTCTCCGCAGGGATGAACTGTAAAAGTAGCAACAGTAATTTCTCAAGAATTGTACAATTCTCGTAGCATTTCTCATTTCACATAGAAAAATCCGAGGAAGTAAGATACTGTTATACATTTTACAGAAGAAACAGAGACACTGAGGCATGCAGATCCCTGCCCCAATTCACACAAAGTCAGTTTTTAAAAATCTGTCCTTTTTTATTTTTAGGCCAAAAGGTGATGTCCTTTTCAAGTTGCTTAGCCTATGTCAATAAATTAGCAGATCTCCACTGCATTTATCTGCTTCTGATTCTAGTGACTCGTTATACATGGTAGTTTTACAGAGTTTTCATGTTTTCCTATAGAGAACACATAGTCCACAGCAATGACTTCTGTTTTCAGAAGGAGTTAGCAAATTGCAAGAGTTTCAACAGAGAAGAAACCAATGTCATTCTTCAAGAGTATTGTTTTTGGTGGTTACTTTTTCTTTTTAAACGTGACATGTGAATTAAGAGAGAAAAATAAGAATACACTTGTTTCGGGCGCCTGGGTGGCTCAGTTGGTTAAGCGACTGCCTTCAGCTCAGGTCATGATCCTGGAGTCCCGGGATCGAGTCCCGCATC